CACACACATATATATATATATATATATATATTCGTCACTATTAACGATTGCAAAATTTAGAAAATATCAAATCGTTTGAAGCTGATTATAAGAATGGAATATCTAATAGCAAATGAAACAAGTTTATTACACTTTTTATTTGTTTCATTCTTAACTTTTTTTAAAGTGTGGCTAGCCAATCCCTGTTGTAGACGCCTACTCAGGCATATTTGTGTTTGTTCACCACCCACAGAGCCCACCTGTGGTTTATACTGCAACTATGCTGAGCGGATCTTAGTTAGAGTTCCTGGTAGAGAGAGCGCTATCAAGCGTCATCAAAAGTCTGAACAACACCAACACGCTCAAGCCCTCGATCACGATGGCTTGAGACTTCGTGCTAGCACAACCATTAACGTCTGCCAATGAGTTCCGTCTACCTAATTTTATGCACACTGCTTTTCAGACACTTTTCAAATGTGCCGCACTTGGTATCACCTCCCCCAGACAGATTGCATCATGAATTCGACCACTGTAAGATTCGAACCCGGGTCTCATGGTTTGGAAAGCGAACGTTCTAAACACCTGGTCATTTTTACTCTTACTGTTTATAAAAATTGGCATTCCTTTTTATCATCAACAATTCTTATCAGTAAGTTGTACTCGATATGTATAAATGTTACACACATTACTTATATACATATATTTAGGCAAGAAGTCACTTTTGCCAACAGTCGAAAAAATGAGATCAAGGCTCACTACAAATACAGAAATTAACACTGAAACATTAAAAGAACATAAGGAAAATTTATTCCTTTAAAAATTGATTCTTTTAATTTACCTGAAGACAGAAACCCGTGTAGTGAAAATATGAAGAATAAAATATAATATATACACTAAAACAAATCCATATTATAACCCAAAAAGTTTACGGTTTCTATCTTTTTTAAAGTTGGAACAGTTATAACCTTTTCCCCTATGCGCGCACACACACACACACACACACACACACACACACACACACACATATATATATATATATATATATATATATATTAGGTCCTGTTTTTCCATGTCTTATATTGATAAAGTGCTAAAGCAACTGAGAAATCACAAATCTACACAAGGTACGTTGACGACATTTTTGCTTTGATAAAAATAAGGATGAAATTATAAATCTAAAATGAGCTTTAAAAAATACTCAACGCTAAAATTTACACACAAACTCATAGTTAATAACCTTTCCTTGGTGTTAATATAGAAGCAAAATACCAAGTATTTACCACTTACTCATTTTAAGGTCCAGCAGTATTATTTGTCTTATGAACAATGATGAGAGCTAATGCCCCGGAAGATAAAAAATGGTAGTGGTAAGAAACTTCTTCAATGGAACACACCAATATTCCTCTTCTCAACGAATATTTCTAATCAAACTAAAACTCATAAAACGATAATTTTCCGAACGATATCATTAATAAAAAATAAAATTATTCTTACAAAATATACACGACACCAGGGATCGAAATATCACATAACAAACCATCAACATATTTTACCGCAAAGAGATGCACAATAATTATAAGTGAGACGAATTCATTATACGAAGAATTATTAAATACCACATTTCTGCCGTAATTCCCGACAAATATGTAAAACTTATATTACAGAAAATAGAAGACCGTAAATCTTGTTGTCACTAAGCAAAATAAGTGGGTCAATTCTAAACTCGCGATGACCATTATAGTGTATTAATTTCATTGCCCAGAGGAAGACATCAAAACTGGCAATGAACAACACAAAAATAAATTACAACGTAACAGTCAAAACGTGAGGAAACAATAATAACAGCAAAGACAAAATACTTTGGAAAATGGCCACAGAAGCAGCCGAAAGCGTTTGGGACAATGAATATTACGAACATGTTTTGTATTCTTTTACTCTTGCAAAACGAAAAAAAAAAACAAAATTGGAAAAACTTAATAAATAATAATTAAATCTTAATTGTCAGTCGTATTTAATGAAAGATGTTTGAAAGAAAGTTTGCTGCCCAAATATACATTCTCTGTCGTGCGGAGATAGCCTAGGGGTAGGTTATCTGAGTTATACAAAATCGGTCGGGTTTCGATTCTGGCTAGAAGCAATCGGACGTTTAGCCACATTGAAGGCCTGTGAAACTGTGTCTGTGGATGACAACACACACACACACACACACACATATATATATATATATATATATATTTGGTTGAATAATCTGGAAATATTATCTCTATTTTTATTTAAATCCTCTAAAATTCACGGATCAATTTCTTAGTGCTGTTACAAAACTGAGTAAGAAATTCGCCGTAGTTTTGGTTATTTCTTTCATTTTCCCAAGTACTTTCAGTCTCATCCAAGATTATCTTCAGGGGTGAATTGCTAACACAAAAATTAATGTAATTGATTAATTTTTTTTGTTTTTATTGTGTGACAATTTACGCTCATTTTTATTTATTTTGTTTATTTTTAATTTGTTTTTTTCATCGTATTTATTTGCTTATTTATTTTTTCATACTTCGTTGGTTCTAAGAATTGATGTTTGCCTTGAAATAAATTTTATATGTTTTCTGTTTTGAGTTATCATTTGTTCAGCCTTTGGAGTCGTGATTTAGTTATAGATAGAGTAGGAATATTTTTTTCGGATCTTCATTCACAAATAAGCCTTCCCAGTTGTTCTAGCAAAGAGATATGGATATTTTCTCTGCTAAGTAATGGTTACAATGATTTTAAATTCTAGAAAAATATATGTATATTATCTGTGCTAAGCAAAGGTTACAATGATTTTATGTACTATTCTTCTTTTTTCCATATTTTAGGCTTTTGTCTATCTTTTGAGGTTCCATATGGCGTTTGAGAGTATTGTGGTATTCATATATACTTGTTATTAAATGTCGTACTTTTCAAGGAGCTTCTTGTAGTCGAATATATAATTTTCTGTGTTTCCTTTAAATCTTATCGTGGCTTTGTATGTTACATTGGTTTGTAGGCAGTTACTGTTTAGTGAGCGTTCGGGCTTTGTTCTGCAGTTATGGTTTATTTGTTTTGCACTTGTGATTAGCTTGTTTTTTAATGGTTGAAGTATATTTTTAAAGCAACTATAACTGAATTTTATAGCATTTATGATGAGTATTTTGTGCAATATAATAAACATAATCATTTTTTTTTACTTCAGGGAAAATGTTTTGGGATTGCTGCGGGATTGTATGATTTGCTTTATTACAGTAAATGGGTGTTTGGAGGAACTGAGACAGTAAAGAGGGTTGTACTGATATAATGAGAATGTTAAGTGCCATCTTGGAACTTGAATGTTACATTTAGAAAATCTTTAGCCTCCGTTTTATATCGATTTTGAATCCAATAATTTGGAGTTTTCCAATACTTTTTTCAGTACGTTTTCCAATACTTTATCAATAATTTTTTTCAATACTTTTTTCAATACTTTTTTTGCTTTGATGGATTAGGGCTTTTTGTTTGCTGCAGTTTCTTTGGATAATGAGCCCTTCGTCTTTATATGACTTCTGTGCATTTTTTGTTGATTATCTTAACAAGTGTGTTTAGCCTATATATTTTGTATTATTCGCAGATTTACGTTCGGTCATAGCTTCCCATCGTAATGTCAAATTTTCCTTATGTTCCATTTTTTAATCATGCTATTTTGTTATCGAAAGCAGTGATTCGACATTAATGCATGGTCTATATATATATATATATATATATATATATATATATATATATATATATATATAAGACCATGCATTTATGTCGAATATATATATATATATATATATATATATATATAGATAGATAGATAGATAGATAGATAGATAGATAGATAGATTTAGAGTTTGCTATTAAGGGGAAGAGAGGTGTAGAAGATATCCGTTAGTAAAATAATTTGATTTTAATTTTACAAGTACGGAAAGTTGGCTCCCTGTGCCGGGTCAGGAAATTTTTCTCGCCGAACTCAATCCTTCACATCTACAAATCAAACATTCGCTGGAATATTGCTGCCATATATGGTCTAGAGCCCCTTCTGTTTGTCTGAAGGTTCTTGATAAAATCCAGAGACGGATATGCAATGTAATTGACCCTGATCTGGCATCTCGTCTGCAGTCGCTCTCCCACAGACGTGCCGCCGCCTCCCTCTGTCTTTTTTACAAATACTTTCAAGGCAATTGCTCCGATGAGCTGCTTTCGCTGGTTCCCACACTCCATGAATTCAAGCGTCCTACAAGGCTGGCATCTCGCTCTAATCCTTTTACTGTCTAAACTGTTAAATGTAGCCGTCTCTTCTACTCCAATAGCTTCATGTCTCGCACCTCTCGCCTGTGGAACTCCCTCCCCCTTTTCCTGTTCCTCTGATAGCTATAATCGCCAACTATTCTAATGTGATGTCAATCGACGTCTCCAGATGCCCTTATCGATCCCCTATCCCTCTCTTCATCCTTTCCTCTATCACTCCTATTTGCTCTAGCTCCAACTCTCTGTAACCCCTTGCGTGCTAGTGGCTTCCCGCCTTGCTTGGGGTGAAACGCTTAAAAAAAACAAAACAAAAAAAACATGACTTAAACGCCTGTTATACTTTAGGAACAGAGTAATATCGTATTTGTGTTTATAGGTTCACTCTGTCAGGAAAAGGCACATTTAAAATTGTGGTTATCATTGTACTCTTGGTGTACGAAACAAACTCTGAGTTATTTGAACCACCAGTAGGATATCAATACAAAGAAAGAAAGAAAGAAACAAAGAAAGAAAGAAAGAACAGAGAACGATTGAAATGTGAAAGAGAGGTAGGCAAAGAAAAAAGAACGAATAATGAAAGCAAGAAAGAAGAAATAAATTATGGTAAATAAAAAGAAAAAAAAAGAAAAAGAAAGCAAGAAAGAATGAGAAAGTCAGAAATAAATTATGAAATAAAAAAAAACAAAGAGTGGAGAGAAATAAAGGCAAAAACAAAAAAAAATGAAAGCGTGAAAGATATTATGAAATCAAAAGGCATAAGAAAGAAAGAAAGAAAGAAAGAAAGAAGGAATGAAAGGAAGAAACAATGAACAAAGGAAGTAGGGAAAAAAGAAAGTAATTATGAAATAAACATACGAAAGAAAGAAAACGAAAGAAAAAAACGAAAGAATAATGAAAAAACTCAAAAGAATTTAAAGAAAATGAAAAAAGACGAAAACAAAGAAATTTAGAAAGGAAGGAAGAAAGTAAAAAAAAAGTTAGAAAAGAATCAAGAAAGTAAAAAAAAACAAAAAAGAGAAAGAAAAAAAACGTATATTGCCATGAAAAAAAGTGTAACAAGATGAATTAAAAAAAAAAAAAAAAAAAAAAACATTTCCATAGCTATTTCACTGTGTATTTTACAAATTCATTTTTAAATTTTTTAAGGCTACCACTTTTCCCGAAATCCAAGTGATTCCATGAAAACTTTCTGACGTAAAAGATTTTGATGCGTAAACTTAAAGCTGCAGGCGAGAGAGAAGCCATAGCATGAGGACTCGCTTTCACTGATGTTGATACTTTCATTTTTGTTAAAAACAGTCCAAAAAAGATCGGAAAAGATGGAAGAAAGAATCAACCATTTCACGTGATAGTTAATCCTTAAGTTCTAATCCTTTGTTATACTTTGCAAATCCTGCTTTACGAGCAAATAGAGACTGACAAATAGTCACAATACAAAATATCATATCTATTGTTTGATTTGAAACCTGTTTTATCAATGATTTTTTTTTAATACTAATTGTAAAGAAGGATCATTTTAAACAGAAAAGAAAAATAACCAAATATAGAATAAGAGATTAGTAAAGAAGGAATTATAGAATCGATGGAAAAGAGATGAGTACAGATATGTTATAGAAAGTAGGCGGGAATAAAAAATAAGGCCTAAAGCATTAGGAAAAGGGTGAAAAAAAGAGTTGAGAGTTAAAGGTTAGCAATGAGAGAGAGAGAGAGAGAGAGAGAGAGAGAGAGAGGAAAAATTGATCAGGGAGGAAAATGGAGAATTGCAGTCTGGAATTTCACATCAACTAATCGAAAAATAAAGAAAGACTTGTAAAGATGTGATGATGGAATAAGAAAAAAAAAACAAGAAAAAGTGAAACAAGAAATTTAGAGAGAGGGTGAAGATTTATAAAAGCCAGAAATAGAGACATGAACTCAACAATTTTCTAATTTGTGTAAATTAGTTTGGTTTGCTTTGCTTTGTTTTACGGTATATCGACCTCAATGGGTTATTTAATGCCGACAAGATTTTTATTGCTGGTTTGGTTTGCTTTGTTTTGTTTTATGGCATATCAAACTCAATGGGTTATTTAATGCCGACAAGATTTTTATTGCTGGTTTGGTTTGCTTTGTTTTGTTTTACGGCATATCAACCTCAATGTATTATTTAATGCCGACAAGTTTTTTATTGCTGGTTTTGTTTGCGTTGTTTTGTTTTACGGCATATCAACCTCAATGGGTTATTTAACGCCGACAAGATTTTTATTGCTTCTTTGGTTTGCTTTATTTTGTTTTACGGCTTATCAACCTCAATGGATTATTTAATGCCGACAAAATTTTTATTGCTGGTTTTGTTTGCTTTGTTTTGTTTTACGGCATATCAATCTCAATGGGTTATTTGCGACAAGATTTTTACTGCTGGTATAGTTTACTTTGTTTTGTTTTACGGCGTATCAACCTCAATGGGTTATTTAATGCAGACAAATTTTTTATTGCTAGTAATATTTTTCCAAAAAAAAAATGTATTGCTGCTAATATATATATATATTTTTTTTTTCAAAAATGTAATGCTGCTAATATTTTTTCTTCAAAAATATATTGCTGGTAATAATTTTTCTTCAAAAATTTTTACATTTTTATAGTATTTTGACCCCAGTTTGGGTGTTAATTATTTACTGATTTTTGGAAGCTTAACATGTAATACCAACGCGAGTTAGGGTGGACCTGGCAACACCAGCAATTAACAGGAGGTTCCATGCTCCTTACAATCTCCTGATCAGAGGCCTTGCTGTTGAACGTAGTTTATCGTCTTACCCAGGACGCGGATGTAGTTTATCGTCTTACCCAGGACGCGGATGTAGTTTATCGTCATACCCAGGACACGGATGTAGTTTATCTTCATACCCAGGACGCAGATGTAGTTTAACGTCATACCCAAGACACGGATGTAGTTTATCGTCTTACACAGGACGCGGATGTAGTTTATCGTCATACCCAGGACGAGCGTAAATTAGTAAAATTTAATTTGTATTTTGCTTTCACTAAAATATTTCTCGGAACAAATGATTTTTAGCAACTTAAATAAGCCCTATTGATATTTTAATGGCATCTAAACCGAAATATACAGATATATGACAAAATGAAGGGAGTCCTGGGTATGATGATAAATTATATGCGGCAGCTAGTCCTCTGACCGGGAGGTTCTAAGGAGAGTGGAACCGCCTCTTATTTCTCCTGTTGTTCCCAGGTTCACCCTGATCCGGAATTTCTAGCACTTGTTAGGGTCGCAGCTATGCGCAAATAGTTAAACCCCAAAGTGCGGTCAAGATACTATGAATGTATATAAATACATTTTTAAAGCAAAAATTGCAGCAATACATTTTTGGAAAAAATATTCACAGTTAAACATTTTTTTAAAAAAATGTATCAGGAATAGATTGGACTGTCGAAAGAAAAAAAAAACGTTTTTACAAAATACATCAATGAAACTTGATCTTTAAACTGATTTCTTACAAAGAATACATAATCTATTCATACGAATGTATCGTAAATATGTTTTCGGCATTAAATATCCGATTGAGGTTGAGATGCCGTAAAACAAAATAAACCAAAAAAAAACAAACCAAACTAAACTAAAGAATACATATTCTATTCATACAAACCTATCCTAAAAATCTTGCCGGCATTAAATATCCGATTGAGGTTGAAATGCCGTGAAACCAAATTAACCAAAGACTATATATTCTTTTCATTTGAAGCTATCCTAAAAATCTTGCCGGCATTAAATATCCGATTGAGGTTGAAATGCCGTGAAACCAAATTAACCAAAGACTATATATTCTTTTCATTTGAAGCTATCCTAAAATCTTGTATATCCGATTGAGGTTGAAATGCCGTGAAACCAAATTAACCAAAGACTATATATTCTTTTCATTTGAAGCTATCCTAAAAATATCCGAAATTCCGATTGAGGTTGTGATCCCGTAAAACGTAATAAACCAATGCAAAATGAAGGACCCCAGCATTTTGGGAGTCACATTATGGTCGCAGAGGTTGACTCAGTAGCAATTTCACAGTTAAGCGTTTATTACTTGAGCCAGCTGATATATTAACTTCATTCGACTTTAATAAAAAGAGATTATTCAAAGTGAAAAAACAGATTAGTACGGAATGTACAATGTATCAGCAACCTGTTTTCACTTCTTAGTGAAAAGATATACATTTATTATGGAAACACGAGGCATATTTGCTTCGAGTGGCTTGTTATCGTCTAAAGGTTATTATTATCTCTATCTATAAAAGGCAGGATGTGTGTGTGTGTGTGTGTGTGTGTGTGTGTATAACGAATGCACGGCCGCAATTTTCGACGGATTTCACCAAAATTTACATGCACATGCTCCAAGTTAGCAGAAAAGCGAAGACCGACTTTGCATTTCCCAACTGACATCGATAGTGGAAATAATCGATTCTTTCATGCTTCTACGGCAGTTTTCATGTAGTTTGCGGCCATTTTATACTGACCAGAGTGAGAGCCTATAGCTGGCTGCCACGAATAGGCAGGAAGATTCTATTGGCCAGTGGGATAGCCAACAGCTGACTGACAGGAATGTTAACTAGCATACTAGCATGCAAAAAAAAAATCGATAGCTGCATTCGTCACAAGTGGAAAAAATTTAAATCTGCATGGCACTTTACTCCAATTGGCTCATTCGCTTGCTTAAACTCAACGTTGATTCTGATTCCGCAGAACTGGGTTGGGTGTGAAAAAGTATTTAAGTTGACATTTTTTTCATTCAGTTTTTCCAGTTACGAGTCTTTTTCTAAAGCTGATCATTTTGTGTTCATTTTGTTTAGTTCTTTTTTCGTAACAGATTTAATGTTTAGTATAGAGCTTAGAAAAAAATCGCAGTCTGAGATAGGCAAGAAGTAAGGCATGTAGCAACATCAGCATGGCAAAGGGCACTCCTTTAAAGGCAAGGAAGGGCAAAAATATTTTAAGTCAAGTGATACTGATTGCTGTATGAGTCATACGATTTTTGAATCAAGCACGGGCAACACCGTGCCATGCTGCTAGTCCTAACATAACAGCGAGGAATATCTTATTACTAAAAAGAGGGATCAGGTTGCGTGGCTAATAAAGGTCATTGGGTGTTTGAAGATAGAACAAGATTGCTATAAATTGGACTGAGAGATCGGGGCTCTGTTATGGAAAGCGTTAATCAGCAAAAGGCTGCAAATGATTTTTTTGTATGTATTTGTACTACTTGGCAAACAAAGTGAATATAAAACAATCTGAAAATGTGCAGATGCGTTTATTTTCTCAAGACAAACTAGACAATTATAAGGAAAACAAGGGCCCAGAAAGCATTACAGGGGAAAAAATTAATGACTAAGAAATAGTGGAAATAAAATACTATCATTGAGAAGAATTCACCAAGCGATGTATCCTGGAGTTGTAAAAAGAAACTGCAGCTGCGTCTCGGGAGATATTTCCTATACCTTTTTGGTTTTTTTTTCCTTAAAACTACTGGATGGCGAATGTCTCTTTTCAAGAGCGGACATTCCCTAAGGGGGTCAGAGAAACCACTTTATCCCAAGAACGTTTGCTATCCCTGCACTTTGGAAGTGTTTTACACGTTGTTAGGGCTGCTGATTCATTCATTGACTCGATTTTTATTTCAAGCTACTGTGTTTTCATTGATTCATTTTAGAATATTTTTACAAGATCGTAATGCGAAAATAAACAGCCTTTTTCTTTCATTGGTTGATATGGTTTGGTTTGGTTTATTTTGTTTTACGGCATATCAACCTCAATGGGTTATTTAATGCCTACAGCTATTTTTATTACTGGTAATATTTTGTTTTTACAAAAATCTGTTTCTGGTAATATTTTTCCATCAAAATCGTATTGCTGGTAATAA